ATCACCACAGGCAGTACTTCTGCCATAATGGAAATCCTTACCTTTTTCAATCCAACAAACTTTATACACCGGTATCTAAACACTCTTTAAATCTCCACAAGCTACAATTTTTACCATTCCCCATTATTTCCATTTTATAGGTGGATAAATTGAAGGACAAAAAAGCCATGACTCCTCTAAAACTGAGTCATATTGACTTTCATCCCTTGTCTTCACCTGACAAAATGTGCTCGATCCCTTATGTCCCAGAGCAAATCAAAGCAGCTTTTTCATTAAGTTTTAGACATGTCTCATCCACACTGTTTTCTGCTGGTCATGGAAAACATAATGAAGTAAACTAAGTTTCCACATGCACCAAAGTGTCCTCAAATTTTCTTTCTCCTTTTTGTATTCATGGAAAGTATACTGTCAAAAAAAATTATATCAAATTTTATAAATTACCCAAGAGAGTATCTTTTATATAATAAGGCCCTGGAATGGAAAGTTGGAATAAAAAAAATCTGACAGGCTCTTAGCTAAAGGCGCTAGCAAAATTCTCTGGTCTGTCCATTCTGACTAATTCATTGGTATATTTTATGTTCACTTATGCTGTGTACCCTCAGTTGATCTCATTGGCACTTGAAATTTTGGCTAAAAAAGAGCATAGAGAGCAGCTAGGCATTTTGCCCCTGTCCAAACCATATGACAGTGTCAGCCTCCACACTTACCATTAGATTTCTCTTAGACATCTAATGCAGAGCCCGGCTTAAAATTCTGGCTAAAATTGACTAGGAGTAATTAAGGGGTGTGAAAGAGACATAAGGGGTGCAAAATCTTCTGTGTTCTTCTAAAGCATTAGTTAAATAGAAAGTGTTTTGTCTTTTGATCTCATTTATTGAAACACTACAGTCCCCATGTCAACAATATTTTGACTAAATATGCTGTGCCTAGTAAAATGTGGTTTATATTCTCCATTGTGATTTGGCTAACTGTTAAGAATTTATTACACTGGCAATCTGGACCTAAGTCACTTGAAAATCTATCCATGCTTTCTGTTCCATGAAAATATGTTTAAAATTATTCCAGTAATGATTCCTTTCTGTGGTATTAGTTTGCCAAAACCTCTATATTAGCTTCCCTGAGTGATGAAAAACGAGGTCTAAGCTCTTGGTAACCCACAAATCACTTCATGTCATTTGTGGCTAAATGAATGCATTAGCCAGTGCAGTTATCCCCAGTTGACATGGTGGAGATGTCACATTACAGCACGAGCTTCAGTGAAAATTTTAGCACCCTTACTACATCAGTGGGCATCAGTACTCAAGGTCACCAGCAGCATTAGTTAAGTAGTTATGAGTTTAACCATCATTGTGAGCAACTTTTGCAAGATTACAGCTAATTTAAACAGGGCTTATGTATATTTTAACTGAGCTGCAGTGGTGACAGCAGTTGCAGCATCATCATTAATCCTGGAGTTCTAACATGCAGAACAGCTTGGACTGCAGTTTTGTACTGTGTACAGCTAATACAGATGTATAAATTTGGGTGGCACCTTGGGTCTGCTCCCCTGCCTCCTTATTTGTGTTCCTATTCAGTACCAATAAATCTCTAAAATACAAGCTCCTTGGCTTTAGGCTGTGTGAGAAATAACCCATCTTCAGCAGTAGCAAGGAGCAGAGCTACAATAGGAGGTATGGAACGTGTAAATAACCCTGCCCTGGCATCACCCAGGCCCTTCACAGGGGAACATCAGCCCATACAACGAGGTACCTGGTGGGGGAGAAACTTCCTCAGGAGAGTCCCTGCCCACGCACCCCCAGGGCTGTCCCAGGACAGCCAGCAGTCCAGCTGGGAAGCCCAGCACGACAGGTATGGGAGAGGCTGGAGCACCTCAGGATCTGAGAGGTTTCAGGCACATTATGGGATGCAGGCAAGACCATTTGGGGATGGCACTTATTACAGCGCATGAAATGAGGATAAAAGGAAAAAGGGGAAGTTATTTATAAGCATGTTACTTACAAGCTTGTCAGCACATTTGTCTGGCTATGCCCTGCACCTGATCTGCAAAGTCAGTTCTGTCTTCTTAAACTCTATTTTCCTGGATGAGAGAAATCCCTAATCTATGTACATGCATATACATGGAGGTCTAAGTGCCAGCAGCTGGAATGAGGTCCCTGTGTGTGGGGTGCTAAAGGAACAGCTCTTAATTCTGATCAGCAGAATGGGGATCAGGAGGAGACTGCTGGGACAGCTCATTTCCATGCGAATACTGCATATTTAGTTCATCTGTGTGGCCTGCTGTGTATGTGTATTTGACACTTGTCTGCAGTGTACCTGTTGGGATTTCATGCTCAGTCTCACCAGTGCTTGGACCTGCAGCGCTAACCTGCAGCTGCCTTCCATCTATCAGAATTGCTGGATTTGGTGGCTCTCTGAAACTGTATCCTCTTGTGAAATTATACACCATCTAGGGCAGCTCTGGAATGAAGTATCCACAAACAATGCGTATGTACTAAGTGACAACCTAGGCCTCCTTCCTGCATGCAGATCACAATGGACTGTCATGGAACTCCCTCTAAACTCCTCTTTCCAAGACTCTGCAAACACTGCCCAGCAGATCATGGGTACAAGAGCTATTTCCCCCCTGCTGTTTCTGCAACTATTCCTCCTGTGAAGTACAGCAAGCAAAATAAACACAAACCAAAAAGAGAAAGAGGGAGGCATAGCCCTAAACAAAATTCTTTTGAAGTTGATGGGACCCCAACTCATTACATTTTAAACAAAAGCTTTAAGCCTCTCATACAGATGAACTATTGTCTTTTGGTCTCCTTTTTGATGTTATTTTGAAGTGCCTAGAGGATACTTGATAATAAAGCACTCTATGAGTTGTATTACCTTGTTCTGTATTGCCATGTTTTATTAACAACAAGTGCCAAATGAAAAATTAAAACACAAGCTGGAAAATTACATTTTCTTCTGCCATTGCTTGTTTTAGTCTGATCTAAGCAACTTATTAATTGCCTTCTTTTTGATGGTATGGATTTACATTTGCTTAATGCAAAAGAATGGAAATAGCATCTATCAATACCAATTATAAAACCATCCTCCTTTAAAGGAAGGGTCTGAGGTAGACAGTGTTGCTTGATGCATTTCATGGAAGCTTAAGGATTTTGCACAAAATGCTAAAAGCAATTTTCTAAAATAAGTAAAAAAAAAGAGGCAGCCCACAAACTGTAAATTAGAGTTTTTCCATCCTAGTTTTGACTAGGAAAAACAGCACAATTCTCCTACAGATGCAATTTTCTAAAGCCTACAAAAGTCATCCATAACAGCATTTTATGCTAGAAATACTGTGCCAAGCAGTTACTGAAAAACATACCATGAGAAAAGAATTTTGGATGCTGTCCCCAAAGAACATTAAAGTTAGTCTCCAATTTGAAGCTCAAATTTTTTCACCTTTTTCCTTCCCCATCACACAAGTGTTATTTAACACTAATTTACAGCTTCAGGCTTTCAGGTCTCATAGAAATTGGCTGGGTGATTTTGTTATCAAGAAAATAAATGCTTTTATTGGAATCAGGATTTCATCCAGGATGTTTCATCTGTAATGTAATTAAAGAGTTAGTTTCAAAAAGCTACAATTATGTGGGGAATATATGCAAAAATATTCTCACAAACGCTACCAGTAGAGTTTAAAATGGTATTGTCACAAACTCATTGGGGAGCTCCACGTTACGGATTTTTATTGTCCATCTGTGTAATAAGGATAAGTAACACTAAGAGTATGTGGAAAATGAGGAACTCACAACCAAAAGGGAAAAGAATATTAACAGATATCCACAAAAAACAACGTTCCTAACCCACCATTCTTACTGTCAAACACTACAGAAAGTGCTTGAGCAACAAAAAACCACTTTGAGCCTGTGTTTAAGTATAGGAAGACAAGATCAAGTACTTCTATGCATCCCAGACTTCAAGAGGGCATGTCTGGGATGGATCAGCTGTGGGGCAGTTCCTCTTCAAACTAGACAAATGTGAATAACTACTTTATGTACATTAAATGGCATACCACTACTGCTGTGCTTAAAAAAACATGTAGAGAGATGAAAAGGAAAATTCCATTTACACATAAGTAAATATTAATTCATCTTCATGGGATTTTTCTGTGGTTTCCAAATAAAAAGTTACTAGACATTATAAATAGGATTCAGTCTTCAGGTAAGACACACTGGGTGGTGCTTTTTTTGAGCATGTGCAATTTCTGTCTGAGATTCATGCCAGAACCTTATTTAACCCAGCCTCCCAGGATTTTCTCTGGCTTAAGCACAAGCATCAATTGCAAATACAAGTATCAAACTTAATCAAAATACCAGATTGTGAGACAATAATTTCCTTTACATTTTTCTTTCTAATTTCCCCCAATATTTAAGATACTGATACCCATTAAATTGAAAAATTATCTGCTATTCAAACAAAGGAGAATTCACGGCTGAATTTGCTTGAGCCCAGGGGTACAACACAAATGACTCTGCATTTTTGTCCCCATTAAGAGGGAAATGAGTAGACAACCCAGATAACCAGCTGAAACATCAAAATGCAACTTCCTTCTGTGATAAAAACACATTACCTCCAACCATACAAAATGTAGTTCATAGGAAGAAGAAAATTATGCCTTCAGATCATTGAAAATTCTCAACAGAGACTAGACATAATCAAAAACATGTGAGCAGCAATACTAGATGGGAAAGCAGGTTCAACTTTCAGAAGATTTGACAAATATAAAATTGTGACTAATGGTTGTGCAAAGGGACTTTTGTTCTTCCCCTATCTCCTGCACACCTTGTGCATAAACAGCAGTTTGATCCTTGAAGCTCTCAACTCAGCTAGGGAAAGCAAAGCTCCATGGGTGCCCAAATAATAAAGAATCTTTCCTTTTTCTGCACAGTTCCAAAATACAACTGCTGAAATAGAGAACACAGAACTTTAAGCTTGAGAGAGAGAGGTCAGGCAACCAAACAGACCTTCAGATGTCTTCCTAGCTGGGAAGTCACTCATTCCTGCAGTGACACTTGTGTGCCATTTGTCATGGCAGGTCCATTTAGCCAGTGCACAATCTTTGTGAGATGCTCCCTATTTAACTGCTCCAATTTAGTTACAATCACACCTGAAAAAGCAAACCAGAGAAATCACCACCTATTTTGACTGGAACACATTAGGATGTAATGTGAAGAAAGGTAAATCATCAACTCATTTTCACCACACACCAGCAATCTCATGAGACCACATTTTGAAAATAGCTGCACTGCTGTAACATATAATTAGTTAATTTGTAAATTTACAAATACAGTAATGAACTCAGAGGACTTTTGAAAATTTTAACCCAATATCGTGACTAAAAACACTGCCAAAAGAACCATATAAACTGTACTGTAAATACTTCTATTGATTTGCTTGGAACAGAAATGGAGTTTAGAAAGTTCTTAATTCAGATGCTTCCAGTAGAAATAGATTCCATTTTCTATGGACCAGACATTTTAAATATATTGTGCAGTATCTTAAAACTGCTACACAGATATCAATAAAAAACAATAGAGCAGAGAGACATCTAAAGAATATATTTGAAAAATGCTTCATAGCATTCTGTAATTGAAAGAATTTCTCAAAGTCAAAAAGTGGAGTTAGTTGTCCAGTTTGTATTAAAGGCTCATAGATCCAGGCATCTTTTTCTCTTTAAAATGTTCTCTTTTAAATAATCTTGATATCATGGTCTCAGTAATGACGTTTTTAGGTGTAGACTGTGTATGAAAACTAGTTCCACATGCTTTCCTCTTTTGCTCAACCTGCTACATTTTTTTCTCATAGGATTTTGCTTGAATTCCTTTTAGAGTGCAATTAACACATTTTCTCTGAAGTCATTAGTGCTTCTGAAGAAAATGGATTAAGACAATATAAAACTGGTTTCTTTCACCATGTATCACACTAACTGTCCTAAAACCTCTGGACTTATGGACTGGAGAAGAATAGAAACAGTTTTCCTTTCCCTCTTCCAGAAGTTCCTGGTCCACGCTGAGACACTTCCTGAAGTGAAGATGCAAGTATATGTGAAAGGGTTTTGCTTTATTTATGGTTCAAAAATAAAGTAACAACTTGCAGCTACCTTTCATATATTCATGAATATGTATTCATGGGTTCAACGGCATTATTCACATTTCCAAAGTTCATGATTTTCTTAAGCACCACATTAACTTAGAATCTGTATTTCCATAGTCTTTCCATACTACTACTACAGGACTAATGTGCATCTTCAGGGCACACTACATAATTGAACAGCCCCAGCATGAAGTTTAGAAAAAGGGCCTTGTACAATCTTCTGATTTTATATTTTTCAATAACTGAAGTTTTATTTCCTCCCATTTTATGACAGAATACTTATTCTACTGAAAAATCTAGCTGAAATATAAACATGTTAATTGAAATATTGAAGAAAAGAAAGCATACTTGGCAAATTTACTTGTTGTGTAACTTGGAGATCAAGACAAATTTGCATTAAATTCTGGTTCAAAGGAGGCACCATGTTTTTCTAGTCAATAGCACTTTTATCATTATTTTACTTTTTATCTCCAAGTTCCATGGCATTCTATGCCATTTTGAGAATTAGGTAGGTAACAGATAAAGCCAGTATCTTTCATTATATGATGGGGTTTTATTTTCATGGACTTCTCAAAAGATACTTTTCTCACTTTAAAAGTGGAAATTGACATAAATATCTTTTCAGTTTGGAATTTGATGGTGCTGAAATTATTTTTCTATAAAAAAGCAATATCTTGGTATAACAAAAAAGGGGGAGGAAAGATGGGAAAAGTTCTTCAGAATTCATCTCTTTATTAAATTTTTAATTAAAAACAAAACAAAAAAAAAGTCAGAAAACCCCATTGCTTTAGAAGGTCTGCTAAACAATTAAATGTCACTGATACGAAATCATTCTGATGGGAACTTTGGCAATTAGATACAATAGAAGATATTTGAATTCCTGCTTTTTCATGGGTTGGAGATCTCTTCTCCCAAGGCTCAGTCATGTTTGCAATGCTTTCACAATGTTCCAAAATGAATCTCCACTGACCCTGCCTGTTGATTCCAGTGCTCTCCTTGTCCAAGATCTACAGGAATTCAATCCAAGATAAGGTCTGTGACATTGATGCCTCCGGTTTTAGCTTTTATATTTTTCAGATTCTGTGCTGCTTTAGTGTGTAGTTCTGAGCATCATATTAGGGGATGGTAAACTCTCCTCACAGAGTAGGTAGACAAAACAATTCCTTCTCTAGCTGAGGACCGAGGACAAATGAGCAAGGTTTCAGGCCCAAGAGCATAAACAACAGTGGAATGAGGAGAGAAAACAAGAAGGATGGGACTTCATAATCTGAAGCTGTAATTGAACAATTAACTCCAATATGCAAATGGACCAGAACTAATAAAAGTGAGAGGCCTCATGACCGGTCATCCATTTTGGGTTCACCTGGGGTGCAGCCCTGGCTGGGCTCTGGTGCTGCCCAACGTGTATCCATTGAGGCCTTTTAATAAATACCTACTTTAGTCTTTAACTCCATCTAGCCTCTGTTCTAGGCCAGCCTTCACAAGGCATCAACACAATGTCAGCTTTTGCGAACCCCTAAGCATGCGTGTGGATTTACTTATGTGAGAAAAAACTGTGTGTGTGCTCCAGCATTTGCCACATGAAATATTAGTTTGCATCATTCCCATTATGCAATGCACTACCTTTACTGATTAAATACATTAGGTGATTACCTCAAAAGGATGATCATTTTAATAATGTAATGTGCTGCTACTTAGCTTTTTGAAAATGAGTTCATCACTGGGACACGACCTAAGAGTATGTGGAAAATGAGGAATTCACAACCAAAAGGAAAGAGAATATTAACAGATAAAAACAGGAGTACTATGCAGACAGATTAATTTCACATTTACTGAGCAATTCCTTCATAAAAGATTGTTACCAACATTATTTTAATTCTCACAAGGTCAAACTGATTTATGAAATGAGTTCTTGTTGGGCATTCAGTAAAGTACCTAGGGTAGTTTTAAATCACAGAACCATTTTCTCCCAAATTTAAAAGTTTTTCAATTGGGAATTTAATTCATCAATTAATATTCACAAGTTATTTTTAATCCTATTTCAACATACATTTATCAAGATATACACCAAACTAAAAGCTGATTATTAATCACTTGAGGAAGAAATACTAACTTTTTGAAATTTATTTTCCTATTTAAAAAAAAAAAATCATCTGTGAATTCATCTGCTTTAATGCAGAATGCTGGTACTGAGATGATTTTTGGTTTTAAAGCAGACAGCTAAACAGAGGGGATGAAAATTGGGACATTATATGTTGAAAGTCACAATAAAATAAATATTTTCCATGTCTTCAAATAGAGCTGTCAGTTTCAGCCTTTTTTTTTTGTTTGTTTGTTGGGTTTTTTTTTTCATGAGGAACATATATCTTTCCAGACAGTTGTTCCCTATTTCCTATTCTCCCTTTTGAAAACATTTTTGTTTGCTTTCTTTCTCTGCCTTGTTTGTAGCTTTTTTTTATTAGGCAAAATGTCAGAAAAGATTGATCCTTATTTATCTTTGTAAGGGAGGATGTCACAGTTTGCTATGTCTTTGACTACTTGTTTATATAACAGATGAAAGAACAGTAAGCAGTAAACCAAAACCCAGTATGATGTTGAGAATCTTCACAGAAATGGCCAAAGTGTTTTTATTGACACCATCAGTTGCCTCGTTTATCGGATGAAAAAATTCTGTACACCCATGCTATGCAGTTAGAGACTCATTGAAAGTTTCAAGATTGGAAATGCTTCTTCAGCAGTGATTCAAGTTCAGTTTTGGCTCCTCCCAGCACTTGGCTGTTTTATGTAAACTTATATCCCTATAAATAAGGAGGTAAGTAAACAAATTAACTCAAGGTCTTCCTCTGTTTCCAGGCTTTGCCTTCCTTTCTCCCCTTGGCTGCTCCATTAAAGTTCTCTTTACACCTGGAGAGATTACATATACCCTTCCTGCATGCTCAAGTTGGGGTTAAGGTGTCTCTCCATAACTGGCCCGGTGCACACACAAGTCTGAAACCAGCATTTTCCCCATTTACACTTGAAGCTTACCATGTCAGGGATGCTTTCATGTCTGTGCAGGGAAAAGGCTCAAGGGAAGACTATGAAGGAACAATGGATATATAACAATACTAGCCTGTCTCAAAATGGACATTATATTGATAGATTTTTATTTTATGTGGTATGCAAATTTTTTAAAGAGTGTGTTGGAAATGGATATGATATGAAAAGGTTTATTTCTTGTTATTTCAGTAAATATAAGCAGTTACAAAATGTGCTGGGGAGCATTTGAAATGTGTTTGGTTTTAATTATTCTCAGAAATTGTCTGCACAATCATAAGTTGGTAGCTATCACTTTCTAGGTGTAGTTTTAGAATATCTGAAGTGATTGTGCATTTGAACTGATTTAGTGGAATTTGTCAATTTGTCAAAGGACAGTAAAGTTACATGCAACTTCTAAAGCTGCCAAAGACTAGTCTCAGAGGTGGTTTACCGGTTCATACTGGTTTTGAAACAGACAAGGAGAAGATGGACTCTAGGAGATGTCCCTACTGCTAGGAGGTAAGGAACAGCAATATTCCCCCCAGTACTGATTTTATGACAGATAATTCTTCATTCAAGGACAAGCTGTGAAAAAGTGGTTTCATCTGGTTGAGGCTGAAAACAGAGCATAACCTAAGATCTTCAACCCTTCTCTACATCCATCTACATACTTCAGCAACTATGAATACAGGTAAGACAAACATTAGAGCCTGGAGTTAAGAACGACAGAGAGGAATCCTGGCAGGACACATCTGTCATTCTTTGGCTGAATCAAATCTAGCTAAGGGATAAATTTGGGCAGTGTGCTTTAGTCATGAAAATTGTCTTCAGCCACAAACAGTATCTTTTCTCATTTTGTTGTTATAAGTGTTTACCACACTGAGGAGTAATTCTGAGTAGTAAACACATAGTTCTTATCAAATCAACAATTCAAAGCACTTACAAAGCCTCCAAAATGCTACTAAAGCACCAAAATGTATAGTATGAGTGTAGAAT